TTGCGTGATAATATTCAACTTACTAAACTTAATAATTGAACCAAAGTTATGTGCATCTTGATTTTTAGATAATGAATGCTAAGATATTCAAGAGTAAAAGACCATCAAAATTCAAAACTTCCTGTCAAAATATTAGGTAAGGGATGATAGGTTCATAACTAGCTAGGTACATAGAAAAAAGTAAATTGATAAAAATTTCCAGAAAAAGATGTCTGCTGATGCTTATTTTCATTAAGGGGCAATGTTAGTTCTTTGCATACTTTTTGAACTCTGGAATGTTTGAAATTTTACCACAGTGGAATGAATTACAGGAAATAAAGATAAAACTTTTTCTTCTGTTTCATGCAGACATTTCTATTATCATAGAAAAAAATAACTGCCACCTCCTCCTCATTCATGTGTAATTGACACCTGAATAAACAGCACTTGAATAAATTCTTAACCTGCTGGAGGAAGAGACATTTTCCATGAAAATAGTAATTGTTAATCAGTTCATAATATCTGCTTTCATTCAGCATATTCAGACTCTTTCTATGCTTACAGGAAAAAAATGGGAATATTATAAATTCTATGTGTAAATGAAAAGACAGGATAAAGACTATCAAATTTAGTACAACTCTGATGCTTACACAGAAAAAAAATATACTTCGTTTAATATAGATAATCCTAAATAAATACCAGATTTTCTTGTATGTGATATGTTTATTTGTACTCACAACTTATTTATAAACTGAAAAATAAAACATGAACTTGGATGCTTATAAAATGATGCACAGACACATACATATCAACTCATGGGTATCATGATATGGACGAAACTGATCTGAAACATGTGTTATTAGAACTCCTTGGAAAGATGTATATATGTAACTGAATTTGAAAACAAAATATTCTGGAAGATAAAAATTGAAACATGAGTCAAAGATGGAAAAGCACAAAAAATGAAGAGGAATCTGATTCGGGTATTTATTGTTATAAATTTGTATGACAAGGTATCTTGACAACAGGATGCTAGACTTTCTGCCATTGTCCATATGTACAATAAGAGGATACACTTAAATAGCAGAATGATGAACTTCTGACTGTTTATGAAGGACTATATTATGATAATAATGTAGGGGAAATCAGCTGGAGAGAGGACCTGAAGAAATTTCCTATGCAATTTCTTTTTCTTTTGGAATATGAGACAGTATCTAAATCATGAGATCAAATTATGATCAGTGTGCATTTTCTTGTTCACATGAGAAAATAATTCTAAATATCTAATGAAGCACTAATGTGCGTTTTAGTCAATATATCAGTTTTAGCAAATCTTGTGTTACTTTGCTGTCAATAAAATAAAGTGCATAACACTGATGGATATGACGCTTTCATTTTTCTTTGCTTCAGGATTTCAGTCTTTCATAAGAAACATTCATATTGACTTGTGTGAAACATTTGTTGTGATAAGACATTAACTTATTCTTAAGTGTCCATTTCTCCCTGGATTATTTGCCTGCTCTAACCTTGTCACATCCTTATCCTTTCCACTGCCATCGCCAATGCTTATCTCACATTTCTTATTCAGTTGTAGCACAAGAAGAAGGAAGTCACAGCAAAAAGTCCTGTGGTTGCCACTTCCTGGGGAGAGGGGAATCTCATAAGGGAACGTTTGCGAAATTACAAGTTTTATGAGAAAAACATGTCAAGCGTGACTAATTGGTTGGGTTTCAGCAAGAAAACTGGGAAAATAGTTTGACCCCAAGACTACAATCCTGACTTCGGATTCGCACCTAATTAACCAGTTATTACACTGAACTATTTATGTAATCCAGTTAATATACAGAACAAAAAGAGAGTGCATTTTCAAATAAGAACTTCTTAAAAAGCTATGGTTAAGTCAGAAACAACAAGGTTTAAGTGGAAAAGCATGAAGCTTGCTCGACTTAGAGTTAACTGTCATTTGCAGGATGATAGAAATTTTCCAAGAGATTCTCAAATTTTATCCATGATGGAGATAGTGTATCATGAGATATATGGACTCCCAAGTTGTGCCTTCCTATGATGTATAATTATCTTCATTCTCCAAAAGTAATCTCTGTGAATTAGTTCGTTAACTAAAGCAAAGTCACAGCTGAGAGACACATTTATGTATACAGTGAGAGGTTAGAATGTGGTCTACCACAAGGGAGCAAAGCATACAAGATGCCAGTGGTGATTTATGATCATGGCTCACTCTAACTGCTGTGTAGATCAGGCATTGTTTAGTGAAAGGTGTCCACATCCCCCCATCCCCTTATCACCAGACAACTTTTTTTTCTTGTCATGCTTTATTTCTTTTGTACTCTTACCTGCTGGTTAAGCGGTACTTGAGCAACTCCTTTCTCTTGTGCTCTGTCTACATTCCCTGTGTGCTGTCTTCCTTTGTCCTCATCATGTGTGTGCTGTCACCTGTTCCCTGTTTCTCTTGAAACTGCTAACAGAAATGGCTGTTCGCCCCATACATTCTACTTCACCAACAAAGGGAAACAGAGACTGAAAGTAACCACTGTTACCATCATGCTAAAAAGAGAATTCCACGAGCCTAATAAAATAGAGAAACACACCTTTTAGAATACTCAGATGTCAGAGGCATCGCTTCCTATTTTAGAAGAAATACTCAGTGGAATCAAGGATGTAGCTTATTTTCTTTGACTGAGGCCATTGGGAGTTTAAGTCCCAAGGTGTTAATTAATTTCCTCCAAGGAATAGTCTTGGTTCAAACAACATAGGAATGGCTTTAGCATGATACTGGGTTGCTGTACCAAAGTGAAACTCAATCTGTAGTCCAGTCATCATTGAGAAAATGCATTTTGGGCTGTGTTTCCAGGAAAATTAATGACTTGTCTTGAGTTACCTGAAATTCCTTCCCCAATCCCCCATCCTGCTAAGGGGTAAATTAAAAAGGTAATTATGTTTCTTTCTGTCTATATAAAATTTTAACATACATTATGTTCAAGATACCTGTCATTAAAACTTATAAGACTTGTTTGTTGTTGATGGACTTTAGTGCTGTAATGATAAAGGGGAAGGAAAGGAATGTGAAGGGTGGAAAGGCAGATCCTGGAGCCTATGGAACAGTACCATGAAAAATAAAATAAAAATATATATAACTTATTTTTAACATCTCAAGAAATATGGCAATTTTAATTTTGGGGAGAAAAGCCCAGGGAGTTGTTCTAATTGTTTTCTTAGGTATCCCTCTGTCCTGGGCTTGCTAACGGGTGCCTGGTTAGTCATCTGCGCTGTATGAATTTGCGCATCCAACTAAAGTGAATAACTGAAATATTCAGAATATAAAAACATTCAGAAAAAAATCATTTCATCTGTATTAGATAGGAGCAAGTGCAGATTTTTGTCATTAATACTTTTTTAAAGATTTTTTTTTTAACAAAATCAGATATACAAAGAGGAAGAGAGAGAGGAAGATCTTCCATCAGATAATTCACTCCCCAAGTGACAGCAATGGCCGATGCTGCGCCGATCCAAAGCCAGGACCCAGGAGCTTCTTCCAGGTCTCCAATGCAAATGCAGGGTCCCAAAGCTTTGAGCTGTCCTTGACTGGGTGCTGGATGGGAAGTGGAGCTGCCAGGATTAGAACCAGCGCCATATGGGATCCTGGTGCATTCAACGCTAGAACACTTAAGCCGCTAGGCCATGGCTCTAGGCCCTGTCATTGCTTCTTAAAATACACATACTTTGCACTGAATTTCAATCTTATTAGGCATTATAAGTAATCTAGAGCTTGTGTAAAGCACATAGAAAGATGAGTGTACATTGTATATAAATATTATAAAATATTAACTTTTCGATTTTTTTTAGTTATTTTCTTCCATTTTTCCCTATCTTATCATAGTAGTATAGTCCCTTAATAACTGTTACAACTTTCTGCTAATTAAGTATATTATGGCATTGTAGGGAAAGACAAAGAAAATCTAATATCATACTGCAAACATGTATTTAAAGATCCCCTGGGCAGTCCTACTTTTACTCAGGAACAGAGATGCACTGAGCATATCTTTACTTCCCAGCATGCTAGTCTCCATTAGTAGTTCATCTATGCAAATATATGAAACACTGGATTACCTATCATATCTTATACTCATGATATTTATCTATTTTAGGTTGGCTTATTTCACTAAACATGATGGTCCATTCTGTTGTAAACAGTAGGACTGCATTCATCTAATACCTCTGTAATATTCCAGAGTAATTATGCTACAGTTTATCCATTCATCTGTTGATTGGAATCTGAGTGGTCTTCACTGCTGTGAATTGTGCTTCTATAAGTAAAGGGTTGCAGGTTGTTGCTGTCCCGCAGTGATGGGCTTGGTGCACAGAGTCAATAATAACACACGTGGACCCTGACTGATGGGCCAAAAGCCAAAGTTTATTAGTGGCATCAGACTTTATACACTGAGGGTCATATGGGAGTAGGGAGGAAGTATGGAGCTTATCAACAAAACCCATCAACTGTTTCTATAGTTTTGTTTGGAACTCCTTTTTTTTGTATATTCCACCAAGTGTTTTCATACACTTTCTGTCCACTCAACTGTTCTTTTTTTTTCTTAAGATTTATTCATTTATTAGAAAGTCAGATATACAGAGAGGAGGAGAGACAGAGAGGAAGATCTTTTGTCCAATGATTCACTCCCCAAGTGAGCGCAATGGCCGATGCTATGCCAATCCGAAGCCAGGAACCAGGGACCTCTTCCAAGTATCCCACACGGGTGCAGAGTCCCAAGGCTTTGGGCCATCCTCGACTGCTTTCCCATATGGGATCCTGGCGCGTTCAAGGCAAGGACTTTAGCTGCTAGGCCATCGCACCGGGCCCCACTCAACTGTTCTTACACAAATGATATCCAATCAGGTATACAAAAGATAGCCATTCAACTGTAATCCTGTGCTCCCTGACATCCTAGGGTCACAATGTCCCCCTACAGCAGGTTGCTTTCTCATATGCAGATTTCACCTCATTTGACTATATTTTCAGGAGTGGAATAGCTGGCTCAAATGGTACATCCAAGTTCAGTTGTCTGTGCACTCTCCATACTGACTTAGAGAGTGGCTGAGCCAATCTACACTCTGATATCTTAGACTCTGAATAACAGTGGCATGCAATTTCCCACCCCCTTGCCAGCATTTGCGTTAGTTGATTTCTGCATCCTTGATTGAATGAGTCCTCCTGTTAAGAAAAAAATATAATACTGGAATTAGTATCTGGGAATCCTAAAGGATGACTCCAGTACTTTCTATGACTATAATGACTCCTCATCTCAGAAATATTGGTGACATCCAGACTTTAAAAATTAAGACTTTCCAAGAATTACACACAAAAATCTCAGGGTGAGCAGTACTGACTTCAGTACATGGGATAAACACAGAAGTATCTTACTTGTTCAAGAATATTTTGTATTTCCTGAATATATGAAATATATATCAATGTATTCCAATATGAAGGCTATCTTAATTTTCAGAAGTTATTGTATAATGGAAGGCACATACTACTCTTTTGAAGGTGAAAGCGTACTTTGCCTTGGTGTGAAGCATGAACAATCCTGACATTATGTTAACTATGCATGTGATGCCTTATTTTTTTTTTAAGATTTATTTTTGTTGGAAAGGCAGATTTACAGAGAAAAGAGACAAAGATCTTGCACCCACTAATAACAAGAAACTTTGCCAGAAATATAGGCCACAATTTTCCAGCCCACCTCAGAGTTGAGGATATGAATACAGATATGAGACAATGGCACAGTAACCTCCTACCAGAATGATGTACTTCTTACTTTGTCATGAAACACTCCCTCCCATAACTGTTGTAATTTTTTATTAAATTTCAGAACTCAAGAAATCTTGATTTGACAGTCTTTCTCAGGTTAATGGTGTTACTAACCATGGAGAGGAAAATTTTTTTAATTCTCCACATCAGCATTTTTGGTGAAGTCAAGTATGTTTTTGAAAGTTTAGATTATGAGCGAGCATTGTGACACAGCAGGTTAAGTTGTTGCCTGTAAGACCGGCATCTTTTATTAATTCAGGTTCATGTTATGGCTGCTCCATTTCCAGTGCAACTGTATGCTGATGCACCTGGGAGAGCAGTGAGAGATGGACCAAGTAATTAGGCACTGACACCCATATGGAAGTGTTATATCGAAACATCACACAGAGTATTTGAGACGAGCATCACAAGCTGATTGACAGGTGCTGATTCTGCCTTGTACTATTAAGCAGGATGTGGTAAACTAATATTGTAGCCAAGGCTCAGGTTAAGAAAGGTCCCACAGACCACTCCCAGAGGCGATGGAGAGTTTACAAGGAGCAACAACTGGTATCTGCAAGCATGATACAGTACCTTATGCTAACCTGTCACTTCAAGAGACCTGAATAAAGTTCCTGGCTCCTGGCTTCAGCATGACCCAGTTCTGGCTATTGTGGCCATTTGGAGAGAGAGCCAAGAAAGAGATTGGTGTTTGCTCAGCCAGTGGTAGCTGCAATTGATCTAAAGCTGTTATAAAATATTAGGAACAGTAGATATGGTGCTAATTTGGAAAGTCAGGGCACATTTCTTTTTCATAATACAAAACACACTACAACTCCAAATTGTCCAACAACTGGCAGTATGATCCTTCTCAAAGGAATAGTTTGGTAGAGAATTGAAAGAGCAAACTGAAATGTAACTGAAATGTAAACAAAATATGCATTATATCATTTCAACAGATCTTTTAAAAGACTGTTACCAGTTATTCATGGTCTAGATTTTGAGTGACATTGTATCTAACCTAGAAGGACAGGATATTTTTAGGCCACTGACAGGGTTATATAGAAAGTGATTAATATGCGGCTGTTTTTGTAGCAGTGTGGATTAAGCCATTTCTTGTGATATATGATAAGGTAGTTAGCTGAGTTACAGGTCACAAACCGTAGAATTCTACTCCAAATATTATAATCCTACTTGGCTATCAAAACATCCCCTTTCCCAGGATGCTTTATTTTCATTCAGGACCTGGGGGAAAATAAAAAAATAAAACTCCCACGTGACCACATTACCTCATGCAGATGCTGGGAGGTGTTTTATCTGAGACCAAGACTACAATTAAGTTACTCCTTTCTAATTCCCCTCACCAGCTCTTTTCACTCTCTAACCTACCCCATTACTCAAGGATGCCTGTGAACATGTAAGTTTGCTTTCTCAGTTTTTGAAAAAATGCTACCAGTTTGTGTATCTCAAATGTGCCTATAGTTAAAATGCCTCTCTGGGGCCCGGCGCGGTGGCACAAGTGGTTAAAGGTCCTCGCCTTGCACGCCTGGGATCCCATATGGGCGCCGGTTCTAATCCCGGCAGCCCCGCTTCCCTTCCAGCTCCCTGCCTGTGGCCCGGGAAAGCAGCAGAGGACGGCCCAAAGCTTTGGGAACCTGCACCCGCGTGGGAGACCCGGAAGAGGCTCCTGGCTTCGGATCAGCATAGCATCGGCCGTTGCGCTCACTTGGGGAGTGAATCATCGGACGGAAGATCTTCCTCTCTGTCTCCTCTCTGTATTCCTCTCCGCCTTTCCAATGAAAAAATAATAAAAATAAATCCTTAAAAAAAAAATGCCTCTCTGAGCAGAAGGAAAGGACCTAGAATAAAACCTAGTCTTCCACCTCCCACACTTCATCTTAGGGATGTCAACATGTAGCCTGAAACAATGAGACCCACAATGCATCATCATGTTAAGTGGATCTTTGTCACAGCAGTACATGATTTCTAAATTCTAAGTCTCTCACCCTTTCTTCCCTTTCTTCCCGTTCTTCCTCCCTCTCAATCTCACTAATCTCCTGATTAGCAAATTAAAAGGCAATTGTGGGTGGATTTGAACCTTAATGTCAACAATTCCAGCCCACACAGGTGACAACCTGTTGGTATTAAAGGAGTTCCAAAGTAGCTAGTTTGTGAATACCTAGTGAAAATTCATTAGTTTTCTTTATATAGTTTATAAGGCTTATTATTAATATTATTTATAATGTTAATATTTCATAAGGCTATTATTATTTATAAGGTTATTATTTATACAGTTATTATTAATATTATTACTTTTTACTGTGAGAAAAGGCAATACGTAACATTCAGTTTTGTGAATGGTCTTCATGTGATCAACCAGCTTTGTCTTAATAGCTTTCCTTATTAACATGAAAGTATAGGCCAGGATAGCTTTCCACCTGCTAATTTCTGCTCTGCAACAGGCATGGGAAAATCAGGGTGGGAATCCACTTCCCATCACAAAGGGTAGGACCACCATCACTGATATGTTTACCTTCAGTGGGACTTTTAGAAGACAAGCACCAGACCCTGCCCCATTATGATGAACATCAGAGCTGATAGCTTGCTACCTGTCCAATTATCCAGCATTTTAATGAATGGGTTTCCCTCCACAATATCCAAAGTTGTTTGGATGCAGGAGTTTCTGGATTTGAGTTGAAACTCTGGCAGCTGATTTTAGCCATTCACTGTATTTTTGTCCTTAGTATTTCAAACAAAATTTGTCATCTTGGCAATAGGTGGTGCCTCCTTGATGTTCGTATGTAATGTTGGTGGCAACAGCATTCAAGAAAATTTGGAGGGCTGTGACAATACCCTAGTTTCACGTGTATTTGCCTCTTGTGGACTAGTCTTTGTGACAGCACTGTGTTTCTCTGAAGTCCAGTTAGGGACAATGCATAATAACCAAGGTAAACATGCAGGACTTCCCACAAGGCTGGTTACTATAAGCAGCCTCTTCCAGGCTAGAGATTCTAAGGCTCCAAGTTACTCATTCAAATCAGATGTTTAAGGAAAATTACGCTGTTGGAGAATTATGTCTATTTTTGTCTTCTCAGGATCTACAAAGCCTTTCCAGCTGTATGTATTACTCTACATTCATTCCTATAAACTGACTGTTGAGGGCAGAGTTTCAGAGACTAGCTACGAGACCCCCAATTCTCATAAGCTGTGTGGCACAAACAGAAGAAGTATTTAGAAATGACCTAATGTTTAAAAGGAAAGGATGCTTAAGAGTTAGAAACAGCCCACACAATAAGCTCATTGAAGCAGTTGCTGTAAGCAGAACTCAGTGACCTCAGAAACAGCCCAAAATGTGTTCTGGTCTGGACAAAAGGCACACTGCACAGAAGAGTGTTTCAGGTGTGGAAAGCCAGTGCACTGATTCAAAGAATACCGCCGTGGCTTCAAAAGGCAATGCCCCTTCTCTGAAGGGAGGAGTTGCTTTCCCTTGGCTCCTAGCCTCATCTCAGGAGTGAGACTGTGAACCCAGCAGGTTTCCATAACCTAGACATTCATTGCTGAGAGCCTGGGGTGACACTAATATCATGCATAAGAGTGTTAGTTGCTAATAGCCAAATTAACAGCAGAATTCATAGTACTAACTTCTCATGCAGGGCCTCTCAAACGCTTAAGGAAGTTAATTGTAAACCTCACTCTCAAGGTTGCATTTTGCTTTTGTGGGTCAAATAAAACATTCTTATTTGTCGCCAGTTTCTGCTCTTGACTATTGCCCAACTCCCTTGCTTGGAAAGAATGTGATATGTTCCCAAGATAATTCCCAAAATTAATTTCCTCTACATCTCAGTTTATGTTATAGTGTTAGCAGTTCTGAGGCAGATCACAATTTACATGCTCTTCACACTGAAATAAAAAATACAGTAGACCTTCAAGCTTGGAATCAGGGAATACATGAATGAACTACAACTTCCGTGCCTGTCAGAGTTTTCTGAGAAGATAACGTTTCCTTATTGGAATCAATAAAACAAAGAGCTAGTTGTCTACTTGGACTCCTGATACATTTCTCAGAAAGTAGTCTCATGTCAGACTTACTGTAATACTCCTGTTTGCCTAGTTTGAAACCAAGTGTGAAATAGATCATGATCAGGAGCTCGGGGCTGTAAGAAGGTAAGATTCTAATCCATCTTATTGTGCAAAATCTTTAGAAGTATACTGACATGAAACCCAGAAGCCACTTCATGGCATATAGTATATTACACTTAAAGGATGTTTTCTTCTGCAACATACTAAATCTAGAATCTCATTTTTATTTGCCTTTGAATGAACTGGCTCTTTCTCAGACGTAATTTGAGAAATATGTGGGCAGTCCTCCCCCCAGTGTGTGGATAGTCCTTCCCCCAATGTTTCAAAGATAATGTTAATTTATTTGGTAATCCTTTTCCAGAAGAACCTAGAGGAACTTCAATTAAATAGAAGAGCAATTCTATAAATGTAGATGATATTCTCATTGTTTGCTCTTCCGATGAGGACTCAGTTGAAAAGTCATCTGATCATTAAATGTTTCAGCAAAATGAAGACAGTTTCCCAATGAAAGCTTAGGTTTCTGAATAAGAAGCCAATACCAAGGATATATTTTGACCCTAGGTAAGTATGTTCTTTAACGGAAGACAAAGAAAGCTATAGTATTTATAGGCCTCTCAGAGATGAAAGAGTAGTGAAGTACACTTCTGGAAAGGAAGAACTTTTAGGATGTGTTCCAGGAATAAAGTGTCCTAACAATGTCTGCTTTCCTGCACAGGAAAGCAAAGGAAGTCTTCCCAAGAGTTAAAGAGCTGTTAACAGAAGCTCCAGCACTAGGAATTCCTAATCTGGACAAGCCACTAACTCTGTAGCAAAAAAGTAGGAGACAGGTTTAGAAGTACAGGCTGAAAATTTGGGTCCACTTCCATGACCATATCTCCATTTCTTTCCATTTGTGAAAAATAACACAAGTTGGGAGAGACCAAGATGAATGAAGGTTGTCGAAAACCTAGAGGCAGTCTCAACTCCTTGTTTATCTTAGAGAAGTCCCCAGAACTGTGGTTGCAGACCCAAGAAAAGATCAGGAAACACCTATCCTGGATATCTGTCCCCAGATGGAGCTTCCCCACTGACCTGGGGCTGCTAGAACTCAGGTCTGCATTCCCAGAATCATCATTGTGAAATGCTCATCCTTGTCGTCACCTGTGCCCCAGCCTGGGTACACAGCCCTGTGGGGACTGTCTCCCATGAATGTGACAGGGTGCACTTCTACCTGGTGTTTGGAATTCCCCAATGTGACAAAGTCCACTCCTCACCCCTTCCCTACCTGAGATCTTCCTCTTCATCATCACAGCAGTGACCACAGCTCCAATGACCACAGCTCCAGTGAGGACCAGGCCAGCGATGACTTCCCACATGGGCACAGTGGATTGAGGAGGCTCTGAGAGGGGAAGCAAGAGTGAAGGGTTCTGACCCCAGGACTCATCCCTGATTTGCTGAAGGCTCTGCCCCCCTGCCCTCCTTACCCCAACTCAGGGTGAGGGGCTCTGACATCCTAGTCTCAGTCCTGCCCCCTGCTAAAGACTCCATCCCTCCTGCCCTCCTTACCCCATCTCAGGGTGAGGGGCTCAGGCAGGCCCTCATGCTCTATGTGGCAGGTGTATCTCTGCTCCTCTCCAGAAGGCACCAACACAGCTGCCCACTTCTGGAAGGTTCCATCCCCTGCAGGCCTGGTCTCTATCAGCTCCATATCCTGGGTCAGGTCCTCGCCATCTCGCTGCCAGGTCAGTGCAATCTCCTTGGGGTAGAAACCCAGGGCCCAGCACCTCAGGGTGGCCTTCTGGTCAGAGACAGGATGATGGGTCACATGTGTTCTGGGGGCATCTGGGGAAAGATTTGGAAAATTCAGGCCCTTTGTATTCTTCATGTAACACTAAAGCTACACTCAGTGACTGTCCTGAGTGTGGACTGGAGCACTGATTTGTGGGGGTTGTGAAAACTCCAAACTCAGGATGGGGAGAATCTAATTTTTCCAAAGTTCCAGAATCAGGTGAACCAGAGGTTCCAGGTCTCAGGGGAGGAAAGGGATTTGGTCTTGCCTTGTGTGTGTGTCAAGAGACTCAGAAACCCTGGAGTGAAGCCTCCCAATGCAATGATTTGAGGCCCAGGTCAGGCCTGGGAGTGGTCACAGCTCACACTACATCCCTAAAGGTCTTTCTGGAATATTCTATCCCTACCTCCTGATACAGCCCGGGTCCCTACAGTTATGAAAGGGAAAGGCAGACACCCTGCGTAGTTCCGTGGTCCTGGCCCCACAGCCCAAGAGGACGTGCTAGCAATCTGGACGTCACCAGAGGTTCACACCGGCCTGAATCTCCCCGCCCCCCTTGCCAGCCTTATGAAAAGAGAGGTGGGCAAGGGCAGCCCATCCCAGCCCCACGCACCTAAGCGTTGCACCATCTCCTGCCCCATCTCCAGGTGTCTGTGCAGCCACTCCACGCACTCGCCCTCCAGGTAGGCCCTCTGGCGCTCAGCTTCACCTGTTGCCTCCCACTTGTGCTTGGTGATCTGAGCTGCCATGTCAGCTGCAGTCCAGGAGCGCAGGTCCTCATTCAGAGCGATGTAGTCAGCGCCATCGTAGGCATACTCCTGATACCCAAGGAGCAGGCGACCATCTGTCCCGACCTCGCAGCCATACATCTTCTGGAGGGTGTGAAAGCCTGTCCCCGGCTGGTGATCAGCCCTGGCCACGCAGCTCCGCCCCTGCCCTCACCGACCCGCGGGGATTTCAACCAAAACCGAAAACAAAACCCAGTCCCTCAGGCTCCTCCCACCGAGGGTCTCCGTGGGGCGCGCAGTCTCGGGGTGGGGGGACCTCGGCCCTGGTGACCCCTGGAGCGACCTGGGCGCACTTGGGGAGGGGTCGTGTCACTCACCGGTTTCACTCTGGTTGTAGTATCTGCGCAGGGTGTTTAGGTTTTCGTGGCAAATCCTTGAGTTGGTCTTGGCGAGCTGCGTGTTCCAGTCCCAGTACTCCGGCTCCACCTGCTGCATCCATGGTGCCCTCGACTCCACCCTCGGGTTCTCGGCGTCGCTGTCGAAGCTCACGAACTGCGTGTCGTCCACGTAGCCCACGAAGATGAAGCGGGGCTTCCAGTGCCCGGGCTGGAACATGATGGCCTCAAAGTAACTGAGAGAGTGGGCGTCTGGGGGTGAGAGGAGATGAGAGATGACTTGATCCTGTGCATGCCAGGTGTGCGGCGTCTCTGAGCAGGACTGACAGGGAGAGGAAGGGTTGAGGTGAGCTTTGGGCAGAAAAGGGGCTGAGGCAGAAGGGAACGGGATAAACGTGGAAAGGAGATGTGAATCTGAAGTCAGAATATCTAGAGCAGACATGGGGCCTGCACGGGGCAGTTGATGGAGACATGATTCAGACACCTCCCTGTTTGTGTGCTTTTCCCTTGAAGGTATTCTTCCCACCAAGTACTCACCTACCCCCATCCCTCTCAAAGTCAGGATCTCAGCCATCAGCAGCAGGAGATTCTGGGTCCCCAAGGCCAGCATTCTGGGGATCTGGTGAGATTGAATCAGGGTTGCTGTAGACACGCAATGAAAGTAGACAGTATGGCCTTACGTGGTAGCCTACTGCTAATTTTCTCACCTTGTTAAGTGCCCAGATCCTATAAAGTTGCCAGTTGTAATTTTGGTAGCCCCGCTTCCTGTCCAGCTCCCTTCTTATGGCCTGGGAAAGCAGTCCAAGATGGTCCAAAGCCTTGGGATCCTGTACCCGCATGGGAGACCTGGGAGAAACTCATGGCTCTTGGCTTCAGAACCGCTCAGTTGCAGTTTGCGGACTGAATCATCAGGCAGAAGATCTTTGTTTCTCTCCTCTCTGTATATTTGACTTCCTAATAAAAATAAACAAATCTTTTAAAAAAAGAGTACCTTTGAAGTACCCAACCATAGCTCCACTTCCCAGTCACAGAACCCTTATATCAGTGGTTGTGGATTTTGTTCTGGCTTCTCTCCTCCAAGCACAGTGCCCTGTGATGTTGCCTTCCTAAGGCTGTGCCCAGGGCTGAATGAGAGAATCATTTAAGTCACCCAATATTGCGCAGTCTCACTTTTCTTTGTTGATTGTTCTTCCTGAGCTGAACTCCTACCCCTTCCCTGTGCCTGGGATTCTTCAAGAAGGAAACACCTCCAGAAACCTTGTTCCAGATCAGGAGTGGACTTGGGGAGCAGAGGAGGAGAAATAGGGGCTTCCCCTTCCCTAGGGAAGTGTTGTCTGAGATCTCCCTAGTCAGAGTCCCCTGTGGTTGCTCAACTCCACAGGTACAGCACAGATGTAAATCCCCTAAAGGATCAGAACCCTCCTCTGTGGAAAAGGTGAGTGGGGGCCCTCTATACCTGAGACTGTCTGAGCAGCCTCGTAGCCACACTACCAGAGCCCCAGGTGCACTTTCCCAGACAGTGCACCTGTGCCCTGGGTTATCCTCCTTCTCCCCGACCCCAGCCCTGAGCTTCTGTGTGTGAGTCCTGACAGCAGCCCAGAGCGGGTCCTTCCAAGTCCCCCAGGAATGTGACCCAGGAATATGTCTCCTTGCACACCCCTCTGATAAAGTTTAACCTATATAATAACAACAGTAAAAGATGAACAACTGTATATTAAACCATACTAGCTATAATGATGCCTCTATGACCTCTGTGATTATGACTCTGAGTGTGCTCTGATGCTCTATTCCCACTTCTCATGACACTGTGAGTTGATACTGTACCTTGTGTGATGAGATGAGTGAGGGAGCTGACAGAGATCCTATGATGCAGTGCTATCAGATAAAGCAACTGACATGGGACCACAACACAACCACAGTATATCTGAAAAGCAGAATTGATATTGGCAATTGAATCGCAGCTTGCAGAATTAAAAAGCAAGACCTACATCTGTACCGTTATACAAAAATCAGCTCTAAATCATACAAGAACCTAAATCTACACCCAGAAATCATCAAACTATTTAAGGAAAACATAGGAAGTACTCTCCACAAAATAGGAATGGGAAAAATTTCTTGGAAACTCACCAAAAGCCAGACAGTCAGCCAAAATAAACAAACAGGACTACATCAAACTAAAAAGTTTGTGTACAGCAAAGAAAACAATTAACAAAATGTAGAAGCAACCAACGGAATGGGAGAAAATCATGGCACATTACATCATTGATAGAGGACTAACATCCAGGATTTACAAAGAGCGTCAGAATCCAAGGACAGGAAAAAACAAAGAAACAAACAAAAGCACAACCTTGTGAAGAAATGGGTGAAGGAAATGAACAGACATTTTTCAAAAGAACAGATTCAAATGGCTAACAGACATATGAAATGATGCTCAGGCTCCCTAACTATCAGGAGGATACAAATGAAAACCACCCTGAGGTTCCACCTAGCTCCAGTGAGACTGGCTTATGTTCAGAATTCTACTAACAACACCTGCTGGCATGGATGTGGGGAGAAAGGCACCCTCCTTCACTGCTGGTGGGAGTGTAGGCTAGTACAACCACTATGGAAATCAATATGAAGAGTGCTTCGAGGACTCCAAATAAATCTGCAATATGACCCAACTATCCCACTCCCGGAATATATCCAAAGGAAATGAGAAATGCATATAAGAAGGGGACTTGTAAACCTGTATTTACAGCAGCACAATCTACAATAACAAAGACATGCAAACTACCCAGATTTCTATCCAAAAAGGAGTGGTTAAAGAAACTGTGATATATCTACCCCATGGAATATTAATCAGCCATTAAAAACAATGAAATTCTACCGTTTGCAACTAGATGGTCCCAACCAGAGACCATTATGCTCAGTGAAATAAGCCAATCCCCAAAGGACAAATACAATATAACCTTCATGCATTTTTGTGAGATTAGTAACCTTTTTGCTGCAAACCATAGTTTTGATTTTTTTTTTATTTTCATTTATTTCTAGTAGCTTCTTTTCTCTTTTCAAATTCATCACTGGCTCTTGGATTACACAATGGCATCATTTTACCCAAGAGGCTTTTGTATCTTCTTTTTCATTTCTTTACCCATGTGTTGATTATTTATTGGTGTGTTTTTTGACTCCATATGCTATAAACTTTTTGTTTTAACTTTGTACCTGTTGTTGACTTTGTTTCATGGCTTCTCATTTAAGGGAATACTTAGTGACAACGTAATAGAGACTGTCATATTCAAATGTGAAGACACAATGCATCTCTACATCCAAATAAAACAATGGACTCCCAGTGAAACTGTTGGACATATCTAGAGAATGCGGTGCTGGACTGTCTGACATTGTCTGTACCACAAATGTTAGGACTCATTTAGTGAGTGCATGACAGACTGATGGAATTATGACTGCTTGTGAAGGACTATACTATTTTAAAATATGGGAAAATTAATCATGAGATAGGAATTTAGGGAAGGGGCAGGAAAGACCCAGACCCTAGGAAATTGCACCATAAAACATTAAAAATGAAACCTATAACTTTACATTAAAAAGCTCATTATTATGTGATATTATTACTACCAATGCCAGGACAAACCAACATCCTTTGTTGATGTGATGCTCTGAACAGGACATGATGACACTTCAGATACAGTCTTGAAAGATGAGACAAGCTCAAAATGAAACAAAGCAGTTTGCTGATATTCTTCAAACACAGACAGGCCAATGAAGATACAAGAAATTTTGAAACTGGTTCAGATTAGAGGAGATCAGTAAGACATGATATCTAAATATGTGATCAAAGACGTAAAAATACTATGGATATAATTATTAAGATGTTAGAGAAAACAAAATACAGATTATTAATCAAATAATATTTTAATAATACTTGCTGTCTCTCATAAGTGGTAAGAAATGACAAAATAATGCTGCTGTTCTGGGAGCAGCAGTGTAGTACATCAGGTTAAGCCAGTTTAATTCCCAGCTGCTCATCTTTAGCCAATTTCCTATTTATGGCTTGAGAATGCAGAGCAAGTTATCCAAGTCCTTGAACCCCTGAATTCAAATGGGAGAACAGGAAGAAGCCCCTGGATCCTTGCTTTGTACTGGTTCAGCTCCTGCAGTTGAGGCCATTTGGGGAGTGAACCAATAGATGGAAGACCTTCTGTCACTTCTTCTCACTCTCAAATTGTAATCTTCCAAATAAAATATACTAGATCTTTTAAAATAATAATGATATCATTCTGAGACAATAAATGCTGAAATACTCGTTATTAAAGGAATGTGAATTCTGTATATTACTCTCAAAAGAGCAAAAATAAGTAAGTGATAGATGCTAGATCAAACATCCCAGGTAAAAAATATTGATGCTAACTCTAGGTAAGTGATGAGTGCTTTGTGCTGCTTCTTTAATTTTTTATACATTTGAAATTGTATCATAATATAAAGTTCCAATGGTTATTAGTAAAAATACTTGAAATAGCTTGAAATATTTAAGTGTAGAATCAATAATATGATAATATGGTATCCACACTCAATTTGTTAATTTCACTCATTGAGCAGAAGCTATGTAAAATTATGTTTTTGCTTTTAGACAATGAACACAAAAGTACTCAAGAGTAGAACACCAAGACTCAAACTTCCTGTCAAATCATTTAGTAAAAGATGATAGGTACATAACTAGCTAGAAAGAAAGGCAGAAAAATAAATTGGTGATAAAATATTCTAGGAAAAATGTCTGTTGATACTTACTTAAACTAAGGGGCAAATGTTCTTTATATATTTTTGAATTCTTGAAATTTTGATATTTAATCACAGTGGAATAAATTACAGGATACAAAAATAAAATAATTTTTCTGTCTCATCCAGACATTTGCCTTGTCATAGAAAAAAAAATAACTGCCACTTCCTCATCATTCATACTAAGGTGACATCTGAATAAACAGCATTTGAGTAAATTTGTAACCTAACTGGGGAAGACAATTTCCACGAAAGAAATAATTGTTCATCAGTTCATAATATCAGTTTCTTCAGCATATTTAGATATAGCCATTTATATATGTGTTGGAAATACAAAAATGGCAATGTTAGTAATCCTATGTGTAGATGAAAAGACAAGATGAAGACTATGAAATTCAGTACAGATCTTAAAAATGTTACATGGGACAAAATGAATTTAATTTAATTTAGATATTACTAAATACCATAATCTAGTATCTTTGATGTGTTTATTTGCACACATAACTTAATTTTTAAACTGAAAAATAAAACATAAATTGTGATTCCAACAAAATGATGTAGACATATGCATATAAATTCGTGATATCATGATATGAACAAAACTGATCTGAAACATGTTCTAACTGACATGCTCTATCATTTAAAGGGATGTATACATGTAACTGAATT